GAGATTTGGGGCTGAAGGTAAACAGCAACTCAAAACAATCTAATTCAGTTTGAGGGTGAAGGGAAAGAGAACATTGATGTATTGTCCATCCCTGTGGAGTGTGTGAAAATAAATGGCATCTTTTATTCAGGCCCCTATGAGTCACTCCATGGAAGCGGACGTCTGTCCCACATCACCACTCTGAACCACTAAAGGGTGTGTGACATATTTTGGGCAGAGGAGAAGTTTATTTTAATATAGTTCTTGGTATAATATTAACATCCAAGCCATGGGATCCTGTAAGGTTATTTGTGAAATTGAGTCATTTTTCCTTATGAAAATAGCTATGTGCAAAGAAATTGATACGTATACTGTATTTGAAATTATGCACTTTAAAATGCAAAGCGGTGTTCAGAATACAGTCCAACATTTAGTCAACTAACAGGCCAGCAATTGGATTTTGAAAAATCACCTAAATCCTCATAGGAAAGCTTCACCGACCGAGGCAAGGGAGACTCATCACCCAGGGCATTCTGGGTGCGCGCTGGAAGAGATTTTAGAAAATATTATCCTATGGAGAAAAAAAAAAAGTTAATTCACAGCTCTGAACAATTTGTTTTATTCAGAATGCAAAGCTCTCTCAGCCATTTCTCTTGGATTCTGTTTATCCTTCTAGTGGGCAACTGCCATGCTTTGAATATGACAGAAACAAGGTGCCACTGAAGGGAGAGAGAAGGGATGTGGGTCAGACAGGCAAGGCATAGATTTAAATGCCAAACGCAATGTGAATCTCAACTGAATGGCGGTGTATAAAGACAGTGTAATAGACTGTAAGGGTATGCGTGTAAGAGGGTGAGAGAGCGTATATGTGTGTATGTAAGGATGAGAGAGAGCGAGAGAGTGCTTACAGTGCATCTGCAGATGTATTTATGAGTACAATAGCAACCCTGCGGCTGGCCAGGAGGGTTAAGGACAGATATGGCCAGCTTAATTCAGACATTCAGGCCATTCATTCTGGCTGATGAGCTAAAGGAGGAGATCTAATTTTCAAAATGGAGCCAAGCACCAGTGGAGTTTCTAAAAAGAAAGCGATGACTGCAGAGAAATTCTCCCATTCCATGTGAGACGTCAGCATTGTCATAGCTCAGGTATGTCCAAAAGAAGCACTTAACACATTACCAATATCACACACACACACACACCACACACACACACACACACACACCACACACACACACACACACACACACACACACACACACACACACACACACACACACACACACACACACACACACACACACACACACACCCCCACACACACACACACACACACACACACACACACACACACACACACACACACACACACACACACACACACACACACACACACACACACACACACACACACACACACACAGAGAGAGAGAAAGTGAGAGCTGCCCAAAACCACAAGTAACCCAAATAAAGTCCAAGGTCAGCAGAGCGGGCCACTGAGCTGAAACCGCCGGCCCTGGCTTTCATTACCAGGAAGAGACTCAGCACATGGGACACATAGGATGGGGGTTACGTTAGCTGGCTCTGTTTGTCTGAGGGAGTCTGGCCGGGGCCCAACTCCTACTCTCTCGTCTGCGGAATACAAAACACTCCAAACATCGTGACAGCATCCATTGTTGATTCGAATATCAAACGTTCACATTTTCTTTACTGTGCTTTTCGACACCGCGAAAAACAGACTTAAGACTTCAGCTCTTACTGAAGAACTTTGTTATACAGATTTGACAGCAGATTTCTTTTTTTAAGTGAGTTGTGTGTGTGTGTGTGTGTGTGTGTGTGTGTGTGTGTGTGTGTGTGTGTGTGTGTGTGTGTAAGTCATTTAGTGTGTAACGTTAACCAGGCCTGGCAGAGCTCTGGCTCTAATGGTGCCTGTGAGTGGTAAAGAAGCAGTCATAGCTCTAATGAAAGCCAGGCATAAAAGACAGTGGGCGTCCTCAGCACCAAATGTGTCATACATGTGGTAAGTTATAATATGCGTATGGACACACGCAAGCACCCACCCACACATAAGCTAAATGAGACCTATCAGCCCTTTAAATCATTTTCTCACCTCTTAAACCCCTACTGTTTATCTGCTGTTTATATAGAGGCAGACATCTATTTGCTGCTAAAATGTAAATAAAAACACCATCTGACCCTCTAAACTGCTCTGTGAGAAGTGCAGAAAACATTTTTTAAATAACCATTAAATGTCCAGTTTACAACCTAATAGTCTTCCAGCACAAACTAAGCAGTGTCCTGTTTTTATGTGCGTCTCAGACATTAACTCTGGCAACTGGCAGGGGTTTTCCAGATGAATACAGAGCAAATCAATTCACTCAGCAGGAACAATGCAGGGTGTAGAGTTTACTCCTGGAAATGTTTATTGGACACACTTTGTTTATCGATAAAAATCCCTAGTTGGCCAAAAACACAGGGAATTTTTAGGAGGTGATGTAAATGAGCATCACTGCTGATTAAAATAAGATTAGTCAAAAACAAAGTTGTGGAAAGCTGAAAATAACTCCAGAGACGGCTGAAAATGGAAATGAGTAACAAATTGGGATGCTGAAGAAATAATGAAAAAGGGAGGAGCAGTTTAGTAACACAAGGTTGCAATTCAAAAATCCATTTGATACAATTTGCAACTCATACATTGCCATGTTAGATACATTTTCCAATGTGGCAGAGATGTATCCTTGGTTTTGATCATTGCTTTGGCTTTGTCATCTTATTTGCTGTGGGGTTTTCAATAACTACCATAGTCTGTTACATTAATGGTCCTTTGGTACTACAGTGTGATTCAAAATGACAAAATGTGAAAGCAACACCCTCCACCTCCAAGCCGACCTCCTGTCTAGACCCTCACATCTTCCCCATCATGGCCAAGGTCCTAGTTCTGTCCTTCCCATTATTCCCCCAGGGGCTAACATGAATGAATGTATATATTTGTGTGTGTGTGTGTGTGTGTGTGTGTGTGTGTGTGTGTGTGTGTGTGTGTGTGTGTGTGTGTGTGTGTGTGTGTGTGTGTGTGTGTGTGTGTGTGTGTGTGTGTGTGTGTGTGTGTGTGTGTGTGTGTGTGTGTGTGTGGGTGTGTGGGTGGGTGTGTGGGTGGGTGTGTGTGTGTGTGTGTGTGTGCATGCGGAGTGGGTGAGTGTGTGCGTGAGTGGGTGTCATTACTCCTGCCCCCATCTGACGGTTTTGGGTTAAACAATGTTATTATTAAAGCCTTTCCAGAGTAGCTTCCTTTCTCCCTCCAGCGACACCCTTACAAACTATAAATCAACTGCCTGAGCCCTGTAAATCACAAACGATGTGTGTGAGTGTGTGTCTCTGTGTGTGTGTCTCTGTGTGTGTGCCTGGTGGCCACTGCAGCTGTGCTCTCAGACGCACATGAAGATGACATTGCAGCTGTGAGCGTGTCACAGCATAGATGAGCCCATGTTACTCTAGTTAGAGTCATTTTAAAAATCACAGTGGAAACAAATGACAAATGTTAAATAAAAGCATATGCTTTGAATATGAATTTAATGGGAATACTGAAAATGAATTACAGGCATGTATGTTTAATGAAGGGAGATAATCATGTTTTTTGGTCTGAAAACACAGCAATGTTTGAAGCTGACTTTTGTGGATATGGATAATGTTGTCCACTAAAACCTATTTTGTCAGTAGCAAATTGAATTCCTTGTACAGAAAGCATCCCTGTTGGACCTCCAAAGATTAGTTTATGTCTGAACGGAAACACAGAGACATTTTCATCTCTTTGAGACCAAATCGGATAAATAATGCACTCTGAAATGCACGGCTCGTGTGCAGCAGTGATGGCTCATTCTGTGATTGCTTGTGATTGTGTTGACACCCCCTGCTGGGCTGAAAACATCACTACCTCACAGAGAGCAAGCTCAGTGCCAGCAACAACATCCCATATCCAATCCCACCTCCAGCCAGGCTACAATATACTGAAAGTAATGAATCACTAAAATCAAGCGGATATCTTCTTCCAGCCTCATATCACTCCAAACACAAATATACACAAACAAGAGAAAAAACAACCCAAAAGCAATACATTGAAACCTATTGTGTATCCTTAATCTAACCGACTGTGTGAAACTATACGCTTATATACTCAAGAGCAGTGTCGGGTTTAGACAGCTGTATCCCCAACAGAATGAGAAATATATATTATGCCGCTGCCGAAAACACTGCGGACCCATAAAAGAGCTATTGTGTGCCCACAGCAAAACAATACAGCTTAGCTGAGCTATGAGGAAAAAAAACATTTGGATCAATAGAGAATTGCAATTAGCCCACATTGGCAGGAGCAGTGCCAGATTAGACACAGGATGTCGATCCCATTTCCTGCACTATCGGGCCCCCAAACTAAGTTGGCTCACTTTGTAACTGGAGCAACACACACAACTGGGAAAGACACTGCAGTGTGAAGGTGGTGGTATATGAGGTTATGGTGATGAAGATAGGGATGATAATAAAAATGGTAAGAAGGTTGAGCAATGTAGGAAAACAAGAAAAAAGGATAGCATGTCAAATAAAAGCATTTGAAGTGTGATACAACGCAAGAACTGCATCCACATATATTTTTACCTCAAATGTTGAAAACATGTGATTCTTTGTGTGAAGATGCAACATCGAAGCACAGCCTTACAACAGCAGACCAATATACCGACTTAAAGGCGCAGTTAACCTGACCATCTAATTTCTGTTCACAGCTACTTTTTTTTTTACAATAATCGCCTTTAAGCTTCACACATGCAACCTTTTACAGAATTCAACTTTTTTAAGTTTTACATCAGTGTTTTTAAATATATAAATGCTACTTCCACAACATGAAAAGGACATGGCCATGCATTGAAAGAAAACACATCACCACATATATTTTTATTTCACTGCGAGTGAGTTCTCACAATGTACATTTTCCTGCCAAAACTGAATATAACTGACAAGGCAATTAAAGGTCTTACCTTTGAGTGTGCCATGGCCTTGCAGTACATCCCTTGAAATCAGCACAGAGTAGAAGCTTTGTGAGAAGCCAGGTCGGCAGGGACCTTTGGAAGCTTGCTCCCCATTATTCCTCTGGAAAGAAGAGAATAGAAAGCAAGACATCGATAAACATGGATTCCATTGATTTCTGGCCCTTAGCCTTGGAGAAAGCCAGCAAATTGTACAGCAGTTAGCAGAAATATATTCAACAAGTTTATAAACGATATGCTCCTGGGCACATTAAATACCCACGCTCAGGCAATATCTGTTATGGATAACTTGCTCCATAACAGGAAACCAGGCAATGATGAAATGGGGATGTTATTTTAAGTATTGTGGTCAAGTGAGATACACAGCATACACACACAAACGGTATGGATGCAGAATGTGTTCATCCTGACCCTCGGTTACACACTAGCAGAACGGAGCAGAGAACGGAGCAGAGAACTGAGCAGTGCATGCCTGTGGAAACTTTGCACAAAGCATTCAGAGCTTGCCGTTGGTTAAATTGAACGATCTGACCCACTGCAGCCTCCACAAAAGTCAATGTGTGCGCGCACAAAGACACATGGTGCCAAGGCTGGCTGGAGCCTGAATGTGGAGGAGACATAACGCACTAAATATTCCCCTCTTGGGAACGAATACCGCAGGAAAAAATATCTCTGTAATTTTCCTAAATTTACACGGCATAAGTAATGGCTTTAGACACAAAAAGCGGCAGAGGGAAAGATTTAGCAGGGTTCCTTGGTGCACCGTTAGGAGAAGCCCACCGGCGCCGACCTAATTCAGCTTGTATTGATTAAATGACGAGAAACGGTTGAAAAGCACCTTACAACTTCAAAGGTTAACTTATTGCAGGGGGATGCTGTTTTGTCAAGGGAGCCTTTTAAAGGAAGGTTCTGCTAAACATAAGCGTGATGACTCAAATAGTTTGATAAACAATACAATCATCCCGAGTGATAAAAAGCTGCTGCAGTTTTAACTTGTGGAGGATATTGCAGTGATGAATACGTAGCGTTCCAGAGAATATCTGGCGAGGTTCAGATCGGACAGTGCTGGGTCGTTCACTCTTTACTTTCTTCATTATATTATCTCGGAAACATCGTCATTCATTAGTAACCAATTTGCGTACTTGTAGGGAAATAACGAGCAGCGCTGCAGCACACTGGACTCCATGACTTTATTCAAGCCTGTGCGCTATGGCTGTGAAACCCTGCACCCGTCATGCGCCCCGCACTCTCACAACTCCTCTATACAGAATAAGAGGTTATGAGACAAAAGCGAAAGCTCACCCCGAACGTGTCAACAAGAAGGGCTGCTGTCAGGATCAGAGCGAAGTCAGTTCTCATCGTGGCGAGCGATCGAGCCAGGGCTGCCTGGACGAGGAACCAGAAAGAAAGAGGATAGATTCACGAATCTTCTCAAGTAATTGTGTAAATCCCCCTTGTTGCTCAGTCTCTTCGTTAGGTCCCTCCTCGCTCCGTGAGTGTGCTGCAGCTCTGGCCCGAGTTTCCCCGGCTCTCTCATCAGCAGGTGAGCGCTCCGCTCAGCACCAAGGCGCAGCGTCACTCTCCAACCCCTCCTTTAACCCGGCGCAGGAGAACTCCACACACGCACTTAAAGAAACACTCGGTCTGAGCTTCGGATCAAACAACCGCACCACAGACGCCTTTCCGGGGTACCAGGTATTTTAATCCCTCTCCTGGGGAGACCTAAAGGGCTTCGCAGTTTTATGGTTGAAAATAAAATAGGTCGGTAAACCATGATTGAAGTCTCATTGCCGAAGTATGGGAAAGTCATTAACCACTAGTCGTGAAAGTTCCAAGCGTATAACATCTGACATGTACATTATTAGATTTAGACAGTTAACTAATCGGACAGACGTGTGCGCAACAGAAAAATAGTATATTATTATTTTGCTTTTAAACTGACTGATGTAGATCCAGGTTCAGGTTTGTACAGACTGAGCTAACAAAAGCCTAACACGTGACCAGCACAGGTTAAAAAAAAACAGCCCCACCCCTCCACTATGCTCCGACTTGTTAAACTTCCTTGATAATCGTACAGTAAAAAGAATCTCATCACATTGATAGGTTGCCCTGTATGATAACGCCACATATTTCACATACCATTGTCTAACACATATATGAATAGCAAAAGTTATGAAATGATTAATATATCATGATCGACACTTGTAATAGTTTTAATTATCTCTTGTTCAACATGTGTGATGAATAATTGGAATTATGTAATACTATACGTTTATCTATGTGCTACAGATCACATTTACATTTGTATTGGATTAGTATTCAGAGTCTACCACACTTTCTTTTCATTTTGTGTAAGGGACAAGAAGAGAACCATTGACAGTTGCAGATGCATTGTATGATAAAGTACATTTCTCAAATTAGTCATTTGATAGGCATTCATGGGTAATCATTATCTGCAACTGAAGTCAGGAATAATTTTTGACAAAGGGGAATGTGTAGGTGAAATTTAAATTCTTATATACGAATACAGACCTTGATGTTGACCCTCAGTCAGCATTGGTGCAAGCTTTTGTATTGTTTGAAAGGCTTTGTGTGTGGTATTTGATCTATGTATTCAAATGTAAACCAATTTGGCAATAATGTATAGGCAGTAATGAAGTTATGCTCAACACCAGAATTATCTTTGTAGTTAATAGTGTTAGATTGTGATTATCACACTGGCTCTACTCACCAAATACTCAGCATGCCTTTTGAAGAAATTCAAACACTGTCCCTGATTTTTAGAGACACTTCCATCAGAAGACAAGTTGAACAAGAGTCAATTCAAAAGGGTTACAATGTGAATCCAAATGTCCTACAAAGACTGAACTTGGCTCTCTTTGAACTGAGCTTCCGTTTCCAACTTAATGACTTCTGACTGAAAAAAGGGTTGAAAAGACCATGCTGAGGTATTACCTTGCATCCGTTTCCATGAAGTTCAAAACAATCTCTTACCATTAGCGGTTTGTGTGCCTCAACAGTGTCTCGTCGATACATAAAACCTTTCCACAAACAAATTGGGCTATACAGTATGTGCTTTAAAGCCAATTGGCTCTAATCCTTTCAAAAACAAAAATGACTGCATTAGTGGGTGGGTGCTCAGCACAATTTCTCTTTGTGACATGCAGGCATTTTTTCTCTCACATCCCAATCCCTTTGTCTCAAGGATGAGCTTCTATCGTGTCGTCTGTTTGGCTGATGAGCTCTGTAAAATGGATATGGTGGTTTTCCTGATAAATGCTGTTATTGGCAGGTATTTTCTCTTCTCTTTGCTTTGTGTGTTTCAGTCAACACGGTCAATATGTGATAATGTCACTACTCAGAAATGTGATCCTGGACAATACTGCAAAACCCCCATTTGCATTACAACTTAATACAATTATTAAATCTTGCAATTTTAGGTTCAGCAACTAAAATGTGGTAAGGCCTGGTTTGCAAATATGATGCAGCAAAAACGTGTTTACTCTAAGTAAACATTTTAAATCATTTTCCACCTTTTGTCATAGCAGGAAATTATAGTTTATAGTATTGACGGAGCAAAATCAATATTGTGTATCACTGGTAAATAGCGTTATAACGGGACTTCTTAAAGTACTGTAAAGACTGAAGCTAAACTCCAAACCACAGATATTATGTTACAGGATTCAAGAAGAGCTGAACACAGAGAGGCTTGCTTCTCACATAGCATGGCACAATAAAATTAGGTTTAACAATGAAAATGGAGAAACAGCTTTTGTTTTGTTGAAGATGACAGATAAATGTTGATCTCATCTATGAAAGCTGTCCCGGGGCAAAGCATAATCCATGGAGGGGATCTCGTCCGGATGGCCCGGGGGCAAGGCAGAGTTCGAGGAGTCAGGGGGCCGGGCTCGAGGGCGAAGACCGCGGCTCTCAGGGGGCCGAGCATGAGGGCGAAGAACGCAGCACTCAGGGGGCCGGGCTCGAGGGCAAGACCTAGGGTTGGCAGGACCCCCGGCAGAAGAGTAGTCGGCGGGACCCCCAACGGGACAGGACATGGAGTTGGCAGGACCCCCGACGAAACAGGTGTCGGCTGGACCTCGAACGGCACAGGACATAGGGTTGGCAGGACCCCCGGCAGGAGAGCAGTCGGCGGGACCTCGAACGGCAAAGGCCATAGGGTTGGCAGGACCCCCAGCAGAAGAGTAGTCGGCGGGACCTCCAACGGCACAGAACATAGGGTTGGCAGGACCCCCGGCAGAAGAGTAGTCGGCGGGGCCTCCAACGGCACAGGACATAGGGTTGGCAGGACCCCCGGCAGAAGAGTAGTCGGCGGGACCCCCAACGGGACAGGACATGGAGTTGGCAGGACCCCCAGTGGAACCTCCAACGGCACTTGAGTAAGGACTTGAGTAGGGATTGGAGAGGGGACTCGAGAGGTGACTTGAGAGGTGACTCGAAAGGAGACTTAAGAGTCTGTTCGTACTGTCAGGTTTGGGGGAAATAGGACCCAAGTGCAGTTAAAAAATACAAAAAAAGGTTCGTTAACAAAAAGCGAGCTTTATTATAAAAAGCCGAAGGCATGAAAAAACAAGAAACTAATTAACAGAAACAAAACCGGGGAGCACGACAGACAGGAACAAACTTACATACGGGAACAGGCAGGATACACGGACAAGCATGGGTGACAGTGACATGAAATGACGACGAACAGACATGGAGCACAGGGGGAAGACAAGACTAAATACACAGAAGGGTAATCACAGGACAAGACACAGCTGGGCAGGGGAGGAGAAACACAAGGGCAACAGGTGAACACACTCAGACAATTAGACACTCCAGGGAGGAAAAACACAGGGAGAGGGACCAGACATTATACAAAGAGGAAAACATTTCAAAACAAAGGTGGAAAACATAAATCCAAAACCATGACAAAAGTCAGACTTACATCATGACCATCCACCCACCCTGACCTACACTAGCTTACTGTTGTAGTCACAGGCTTTGTAGTGTCCCGTCAATTATGTTAAGTTGTGTCATGTTTGTGATTGTCATGTCCATGTTAGTTTAGTTTATGTTCCACTTCCTGTTTTATTTTGTACTCACCTTGTCTCATTCCAGGTCCCTTTACTTCCTGCTTTGGTTCTTTTTCCCGCCATCGTCAGTGTCTGCCCCGCCCCTAATTGTTTCCACCTGTGCCCACTTACCTCATGTATATATTGTCCTGTCTCCCCTTGTTAGTTGTCGGTTCGTCTTGTTCGTTGTCCCAAGAAGTCAGATCCAAGCCATTGCTTAAGAGATTCAGTGTTTTGCCTTTTTCCCTCCATGTGAGCGCTTTACTTTTGTCATTTTGTTATTTCCTCTAAAAGAGTGATTGTGTTTAAGTAAAGATTATTTTTCTTTAAACCTTTTTTGTCTCTGGGTTGTGCATTTGAGTCCTCTAAACTATTGAGTCAAGGTTCCTAACAGGCTTTGGGTTTCAGTTCAGAAGTGCACTCACAAGTTGCTGGCTTTAACTGTTCAGTATAGGCATAAACAAGCACTTTTTTACAAGGTTAATAGCTCAGTAGTCACTTATATGCAAGTTATCACTTCACAATCTGGCTTTTCTCCCTTTTAGAAAGTGTTTTACCATGTAGTAAATACTGTTTGCCACATATTGTGTTAAGCTTGAACTGCACATGAACTGAACACCCCTATACTGAATGTTTAAAACAATGCCTCCCTCCATTTGCTGTTCAATAACTCATCAGGGGCATTGCCTCCCAGAAAGAGCTTTAAAATGGGGATTTACAGTTGATTTTAGAAAAAGATTAAAGGGAAAAACTCACCCTAATGTGCATGTAATCTTACTGCTACAGAGATAATGTAAGGTGAACTGGTTAGGAAATCAAAAAAGATATGCACCCAGATATAATGTCTCCACTCATACAATTCCAGATACCTTTTTAATTAGAACTTGAATATGAATAACTAAATCGACTTTTAAAAGATCCGTGGGTTCTCAGCATTGTCACCATGTTGGATAAATACTAAACGTAAAAAAGAAAGGAAAAAGGGCCTCAGTAGTTAGCTGTTTTCTTGTGCCATGTGGTCCTTTGTTGTGTCCCTCTGCTTATCTTTTATGACAGATTCATTCACTGTGGGGGACCCATTCCAAACTACCTCTGCTTTTATCTGCGGCAGAATAGAAAATCTACCCATGGTGAACCTGTCCATCAAAACTCTGTGAATCTCTTTGACTCAACGTAGCAGAAAAGCACAGAAATTATTAATATCATTAACAATATCTCACATTCATTCAAAACATGTGCCATGCTACTGAGCAGAACACACTATCAGGGTCCAAGAAACTGGGAACCTAATTTAAATTCAATTATTAATTTGTAATAATACAAAATCTGATGTTCGTGCATCACGTTTGCAATACAAAAATCTCTATTGAGCTAACATATTTCCCAATAGTATAGTAGGCTTACCTAATTATGTGAGTATTTAGTGAGTTCACAAAAAAAGTATTAAAGTAAATATACAAAAAATGAGTGTAGCTGACTGCTCTAA